TATCAACTAAAATAGAAATTTTGAGGCACATCAACCTCCAAGCCTAAAGCTCTCTTAAATCCTGCACAGTAAAGTCCAACTTTCATAATGTTTTTTACTAAAAACCCATATAATTCCATTCCCCTTGCTCCCATGGGGTATCAATCCCGGGTGGGCTTCCCATGTTGAATCCGTGGGGTGGTCCTCCATCCACTTGACAAACTAATTCTGAGGCACATTGACCTCCAAGATACATAAAAAACAGAGATAAAATCCAAAGCAGACACATGCAAAGACAAGCTAATGTTAACGGAAGAAAAATACTGCAATTAGAGAGCACCAAGCATATAAGGAATACAAAGCACACAAGTCTAGAAAACTACCACCTAGCCCAAAGCGTCTACCCAACTACACTAATCCTAGCTATTTAAACACTCCTATCTAAGGTTATATCCTGAGTAAGGGTAAGAAGCCCTAAGTCATGTCTAATGACCTCCTTCCAAACACTTCTTAGGTCTACCCCTTCCCCTACTCTCGCTCACCAACGTAAGCCTCTCGCGTCTCCGCACTAGGACATCATCATCCCGCCACCACACATGCCAAAACCACGTCAACCTAGCAGCTTATAGCAACTTTTCTTCCACAGGTGCCATGCCGACCTGCCCTCGGATAACCTCTTTCCGAATCCTATCCAACCTTGTCTGTGCACACATCCACCTTAACATCTGCATCTCTGCAACATGCAGTCAACGAATGTGAGTTTTTTAATCTGCTCAGCACTCCGCACCATACAACATAGATGATCTGACTACAGACTGTTAGAACTTACCTTTCATCTTAGCCAAAATCTTCTTATCGCACAAAATGTTGAAGCCAACCATCACTTTTCCCAATTCGATCCAACACAATGCACAACATCCCCGTCCAACTCCCCATCCGCCTTAAATACTGAAACTTGTCTACCTTGAGCACTGGATGAGAATCAATCCGAACTTCCACCCAATATTTTGTCTCTTGACCACTGAAACAACATTCCATTAATATCGTCTTTGGTCCTACTCAATTTGAATCTATTCCAGGGAAAGGCGCCTCCAACTTGTCGTTAAGTCTCTCGCGGGTGTCATCAATCAGCACATTATCGTCGGCACCATGGGACCTCTCTTTGAACTTCAAACGTCAGGATGTCCATCACCAGAGCGAACAAGAAGGGATAAGGGCAGACCTGGAGTTACCCCACCTCTACGGTGAAAGGTTTAGAGTCACCCTCGATAGTCTTTACCCTAGTCCTTGCTCCATCCTACATATCCCTAACGTCGTCCATATCCTCCGTCATACAACATCTTAAGACTATAACAATTAATTAGAGACATAAAGTGTCTAAATCCATCATTAAAAAGAAAAATGAGTGATTCTAAAACTAGTGCTTATTATATCCTATACTCCTTTTTATTGTGTAAACTTAACTTTCCATATGTGTTTTTGATGATATCATATTGTTATCTTACATCTTTATAAATGTGCATGCTTAAAATTTTATATCATTTATAACATTTACTTAAATATAATTTATCTAAAAATTAACCAAATGTCCAAAAAATAACATTAATATAGCTTTATATATACATACATGTTAAGAACAAAAGCACACACACACGAATAGAAAGCAAGAAAGCAATAGAGAACACGAGATTTAACGTGGTTCGGTCTAATCTGACCTACATCCACAGGGGCAACTAGGGTTTGTATTATTGAGTGATAATGATTACAAGTACAGGAGATCATATATATAGACAACTAATTAGGGTTTAACCCTTGCTGGACAAGTTATAGCAAACTGGGCTTAAAACCATTTGGGCCGGCCGAAACCCTAATCTGGTCTCCTAATTCTCAGTTGTCTATAAGTGGGCCACTTTGGGCCGATGACTACACATCACCAACAATCTCCCACTTGGAGTCTTTGGACCAAACTGCGGCTTCTCTCTGTACTTCTGTAAATGAAAAACCCTTCTTGATCTTCACATCTCCCTAGTTGCCCCTCTCCTCAACACTATTCCAGGAGACCAGCTGAAGCTATGCAGAGCTTCAGCTTATCCAGCACCACTGTCTTGGTGAACATATCTGCTGGATTCTTAGCACCTGAGATGTTCTTCAACTTGAT